CAAAGCCTATTTTTAATGTCTAACCGTGATGGATATTATCACAAGGGTAAGTTAAAAACAAAACACACAAACAAAAACACAACAAAACAACAAAAAAAACCCCAAAACACCACTTGTGCAAGTTCGATAGGAAACAGAACTCCAAAAATTTGAGTTATAGGCCCTTGCTTACAAAGCTTAATCAGTTTGACACTGCCAGACTTCATTTTTCAGGCTAGTCACAATAACGTATGTAACTTTTCTTTCACCTAAATCACTGCATCAAACATACAGACTTGGGACTCATTGCTGCAAACTTAGCTGCCTGTGTTAACATTTACTGAAACTCTGTAGCAGTCAACAAGGCCATATAAAAACCAAGACAGAACCCCAAAAATCTTGAGTAAGGTGGTAACAATGTGCTATTTTTTAATATTTGCTACAGGGTGGCAGAACTCAGCTGCCAACTACTCCAGCTCTGCACAAAAGCACTTCTCAGGGACTCCAGTAACTACCCTAAAACCAGGCTGTGAGGTATTGTAAGTGTCTTTCTGAAACAAAAGAACATTAGTTAAGACAGGGTTTAGGTCCAAAGGGATTTAGGACTTCCTAACAAGAATTGTGCAGATGGAATAGGACAACACCGTCCACCAGACCTTCTTGATAAAAAAACAAAACAAAAAAACAACTGTGTCATGAAAACAGGAGCTTCCAGGGTAAAGGAGGTACTGAGATTATCCCACATCACCTGCTACAGAACACAGGCACACAAAATGAACGATGTTCTGGATGGTGGCAATGCAAGGTGCTACCTTTGCTGTGTTTTCATGAAATCCCATTTTACATCTCTTTGCTCTAGCACTTGAGGAGACCTTTTGCTTGGGAGGGACAACTAACAGAAGCATCCTTGATCTGACGGGAAACAAAGATTGGCAAAGAGTCTTAAGCTTAAGCATAGGGACACCCATCTGCACAAGGATCTGATTCCTCAGTCTGTCTGGCAAGTTCCTTTATGGGCTCCATCTGAACGGGCCAAAATATCTAAGTAGCATCCCACCACCTGGAGGTGAACGCTCCAGCTCACATTAGCAATGCTTTCAAGTGTTGCCACATCACCCCAGACCCCCCAGGGGAAGTGAGGTTGCTCATGGCTGTGCTTCGCAAGCTGGCCGCTCCAATTGCGGCAACTCGTGACCAGAAGACAGGGCGTTTGGCCGGTTTAGTCCTTGCTGCAGCAATTCAACTGAGAACAAGTGTCCTCAGGGAAGTGATGTGCTATAGAAAACTCACTGCAGGCATTCTGAAAAAAATTACTAAGGTTTTGTGCCATAGGCTCTTAGCCCACAGTTGGCAGTAGGAGGCCAGCTGGAGGACTATATGAAAATAAAACTAAGTATTGAGACTAAATCTCTATTAGCAGGCTTTTGGTTGCCTTTCAGAGGGCGAAGAGGTGATGCAGGTGTGAAGGACAAACACCTAACTTAGGTCTTTTCCACATATACTTATGGAATCAGAAAAACTGAGGCTGAAAGATAACCACAGGCTGGCTGGGACTTCCGGTCCACTAAGGATACAGAAATATCTAGGGCAAACACCAACGCGCAGAAACGGGATAAACTAGGATGCCAAGTTCCATCCATCTTCAACTCGCAGAACTATATCGCCCAAAAAGCGCCATTCAAGCAATGCTCTACACGTCCTAATACAACATATGACAGCTCCCAAGTACAGGTACCAAATTCCTATTGTACGGATAAATAATAGGTTTCAGTTTGTTTTTACACCTCTCCTGTAGGAACCAGAAGCACCTTGCATGCAATTTCTGATCCGGAAGACTATTAAGCTGTGAGACAGGAGCAAAGCAGGAGAGAAACTGAAAGTAGCCAAACCACAGGAAAGTTCTAATAACCCATTAAAAGCGTCTGTTCTCCCTCTGGCTGTGGTTACTTTTCTCATTTTTTCCCCTCCGCTACTTAGCCAATTGCTGAGTTTTCATAAAATGAAGGAAAATGTGCTTTCATCACAAAATAAGCAAAAGGGAAGAAGCAAACACCAGGCCACGGTAACTTAAGCGTGGTGTCAGCATTTCATCCACAAGGAACGTGGAAATGTTCAGGGCTTTATCTGATCCAATTGCTCTGAGAAAATTTCAGTTCAGTCTTAACAGGAAACATGCATAAATATTTTTATATTAAAAAAGAAAAAAACCCTAAAACCACTAAGAAGAAATTGGGTTCAGCCGGTCACAAAGCATTGTTCCACCTTCACAGTCAGCAAAATAAACTAATTCCAGAGCACATTAACCACAGGGCATGTCTGGATTCCTGAGCTCAAAGGGGGGAAAAAAAAAAAAAAAAAGCTTTAAAAAAAAGTCTTAAAAGTAGGGGTTTTTTGGAAGGAAGATCTGA